CATCACCATCATCATCATCACCGTCAGCAGCAGCATCATCATGGTCATAAGCGTCGTCATCACCACAGCAGGCAACACCAATGTCGCTGCTCGTCTCATAATCACGATTCCTCCCATTTCCATCACCATCGCAACTGCCCCCAACGTCTGTCTCAATGCCAGGCTTGAACCACCTGCATCCCCAAATAGAATAGAACTTCTGCAACACATGGGAACTCCCAATACATACCGTGAAGAGTGAAACCTGCCTTTCAAGATGCCCCACCCCTATTCGGGCACTGCCGTCTCAAAAAACCCATAGCGAGGAATCTTACAAATGAGAATCTGCCGGATCGCCTCCGACTGGTCAACCTCTGCAGCAGAAAAATGATCCGTCAATGTGCAGAAACTCCACCTCAACGTCGTTTCTCCAGTCTGAGATAGGAGGTTCGTTCGTAACGAGGCTTAACAGGCTGCTGATTCTGGTTGGAATCTCAGACCCGTGATATTGCTTCCAAGGCTCGGGGAAGTACAAAGGACTGCCGAACATCGTTGGATTTAGTGACTGTTGCGTACCAAGCACAACACGACAAGCAGTAGGACCTTCCCGACGTCTGGGCTCGGAGAAACTACCCAAGTTCTCCTTACAAGACGATCCTACAAGTGAGTACTCTTTACAGTATGGAGATGGCGGGAGATGCAGGCTGTTGAAGAGCGAGGTTAGCGTAGATAGGCATAATCACGGTCCGTTTGCTCCGTTTATTCAAGCTCTCGAGTCCCCTTCGAGATTCTCGAGTCCCTGTCGAGCGGTTTGCGGCTTCTTCTGAAATTCTCTAATACCTTTCGAGCAGTTGGCTCCTTGTTTTCAAACTCTCTAGTCTCTTTTGAACGGTTTGCTCCTTGTTCTGAAAATATCTAGTTTCTTTCGTGCGGTTTGCTCCTCGTTTTCATTCTCTCTGGTCTCTTTCGAAATTCTCTAATCTCTTTCGAGCGGTTGCTCCACTTCCGAAATTCTCTAGTTACTTTCGAGTGGATTGCTCCTTCTTTTCAAACTCTCTCGTCTCTTAAGAGCGGCTTGCTGCTTTTGTTTGAAATTCCCTAGTTCCTTTCGAGCGGTATGTACCTTGTTTCTTGGTTTGCTCCCTGATCTGAGAATCTCTGGTTCCTTTCGAGCAGTTTGCTCCGTGTCCTCAAAACCCTCTAGTCTCTTACGAAATTCTCTGGTCCCTGTTGAGAAATTCTCTAAGTGATTTTGTGCGGTTTGCTCGTTGCTTTCAATTTCTCTAGTCTCTTCCGAACTTTTCTAGTTTCTTTCGAGCGGTTTGCTCCTTGTTCTGAAATTCTCTACTTCAGCTCGAGCGGTGTGCTCCTTGTTTTCAAACTCTCTCGTCTCTTTCGAGTGTCTCTGGTCTGTTTCGAGCGGTTGGCTCCTTGTTCTGAAGTTCTCTAGACTCTAGCTCCTTTCAAACTGTTTGCTCCTCGTTCTCAAATTTTCTGGTCCCTTCCGAAACTCTCTAGTCTCCTTCGAGCGGCTTGCTCCTTGTCCTGAAATTCTCTAGCGGTGTGCTCCTGTTTTTTCAATCTCTTCAGTTTCTTGCGAAATTCTCTAGTATCTTTCGAGCAATACTGTAGTTCCTTTCGCGCGGCGTGCACTTTATTTTCAAGTTCCCTTGTCTCTTGCGAAATTCTCTAATCTCTTTCGAGCGGGTCGCACCTTCTTCTCAATTTCCCTGGTCTCTTTCGCAATTCTCCAGTCGCTTTCGACCGGTTTGCTCCGTATTGTGAGATTCTCTAGTTCCTTCGAGCGGTTTGCTCCTTGTTTTCAAATTCGAACGGTTTGCTCCTAGTTTTCAATCTCTCAGGTCTTATTGAAAGTCTCTAGTGTCTTTCGAGCGCTTTCCTCCTTCTTCTCAAAAACTCTAGTTCCCTTAAAGCGGTTTGCTCCTTGTTGTCTTTTTCTCTTATCTCTGTCGAAAATTCTTTAGTCTCTTTCGAGCGGATTGCTCCTTCTTCTGAAATTCTCTAGTTAATTTCGAGCGGTTTGCTCCTGATTCTGAAATTCTCTAGTTCCTTTCGAGCGGTTTGCTCCTTGTTTTCAGATTCTCTTGTCTCTTTGGAAGTTCTGTGGTCCCTTTCGAGCGGTTTGCTGCTTCTTCTGAAATTGTTTAGGTCCTTTCGAGCGGCTTGATCCTTCTTTTCAAATTCTCTTGTCTCTTTGGAGCGGCTGGCTCCTTGTTCTGAAATTCCATAGTTCCTTTCACTCTCGCCCGGTTTGTTTCTTGTTCTGAAATTCACTATTTCCTTTCGAGCGGTTTGCTTGTTGTTTTCAGGCTCCTCTAATCTCTTACGATATTCGCTGATCCCCGTTCAGAAATTCTCTAATTCCATTCGTGCGGTTTGCTCCTTGTTTTCAATCTCTCTAGTCTCTTTCGACATTCTGTAGTCTTGCTCGAGCGGTTTGATCCATTCTGCTGCATTTCTCTAGTTCCTTTCGAGCAGTTCGCTCTGAATTTTTAACTCTGTAGTCATGTTGAAAATTCTTTAGTCTCTTTCGAGCGGTTTGCTCCTTCTTCTGAAATTCTCTAGTCAATTTCGAGCGGTTTGCTCCTGATTCTGAAATTCTCTAGTTCCTTTCGAGCGGTTTGCTCCTTGTTTTCAGATTCTCTTGTCTCTTTGGAAGTTCTGTGGTCCCTTTCGAGCGGTTTGCTGCTTCTTCTGAAATTCTTTAGATCCTTTCGAGCGGCTTGATCCTTCTTTTCAAATTCTCTTGTCTCTTTGGAGCGGCTGGCTCTTTGTTCTGAAATTCCATAGTTCCTTTCACTTTCGCCCGGTTTGTTTCTTGTTCTGAAATTCACTATTTCCTTTCGAGCGGTTTGCTTGTTGTTTTCAGGCTCCTCTAATCTCTTACGATATTCGCTGATCCCCGTTCAGAAATTCTCTAGTTCCTTTCGTGCGGTTTGCTCCTTGTTTTCAATCTCTCTAGTCTCTTTCGACATTCTGTAGTCTTGCTCGAGCGGTTTGATCCATTCTTCTGCATTTCTCTAGTTCCTTTCGAGCAGTTTGCTCTTAATTTTTAACTCTGTAAGCATGTTGAAAATTCTTTAGTCTCTTTCGAGCGGTTTGCTCCTTCTTCTGGAATTCCCCAGTTCCTCTCGAGCGAGTTGCGTCTTGTTTTCAAACTCCCTAGTCTCTTTCGAGCGGTTTGTTCCTTGTTCTGCAATTCTCTAGTTCCTCTCGAGCGGTTTGTTCCTTGTTTGCAAAACTCTCTGGTCTCTTTGAATTCGGGCGAGCGCTTTGCTCCTTGTTTTTCAGATTCTCTGGTCTCTTTCGAAATTTTCTAGTCTCTTTCGAGCGGTTTGCTCCTTCTTCTGGAATTCTCTAGTTCCTTTCGAGCGGTTGGTTCTTTGTTTTCAGAAACCCTAATCTATTTCGAGCGGTTTGCTCCTTGTTCTGCAATTAATTCCTAAGTTCCTTTCGAGCGGTGTGCTCCGTGTTTTTAACTTCTCTAGTCTCTTTCGAAATTCCCGAGTCCTCGTTCTGAAATTCTCCGTTCCTTTCTGGCGGTTTGCTCTTTGTTTTCAAAATCTTTAGTCTCTTTCGAAATTCTTGTCTTTTTTCGACCGGTTTGCTCCTTGTTGTGAAATTCTCAGTAACTAGGCCGCCGACAATAGGAACTGATGTCGTCTCATAGTGTCGGAAGGCGCCAACTTCTTCGGTAGCGATTGTGAACACTGTCCGCATGACTCATTGACGAAGGATTCCAGACAGCCAGCGTCTTCACCGAGGGCAACGCATGATTCTGACCAAAGAAGACCAAAACCGGTAAAGCAGAAGCCCTAAGCATTCTCTGGCGGAGTGGCACAGCTCCCCGGCCCACACAAGAAAGGCCTGGAGCCCTGAAGCTCCGTCCTGAACCTCAAACCCTACACACTCAAGGCATGCAGCCCCCAGGAGCCTCTTTCCAAAAGCCCTCGGAACCCTCCAAGCGACCTTGAGCCTTCGACCACTAGCATCTCGCGACGGTGCAACCAGGTCGAAAGCTTAGGCCGAGGCGGCTTTGGCGCAGGAGTCCTGCAAGGGACGGTCGCTTCAGGGTATTGGCGAAATTAAGGTCGTTTCAAGATGCCCGAGGTGCAAAAAGACTCTCACCCTTTTGAGGCTGTAGTCTGTAGGTTCGCAACTGCGCGACACCATCTTCTGCCGCACTTATTGAAAAGGAAAGTTTAGTTCCGGTCTGGCATCGCGGCTGCTTAGGTATCGAAGTTCTGCCTTCTAGCTCTACTGCGCGGGAATGGCGAATTACCAGCAACCAGGGTTTGTGTAGTGCTTATGCTGATGCCTTTGTTGCCGAGTGTCGGGTGCACCACAGGAACGGACATGGCCAAAACAGCTCAAGGACCAAACACAAAAACGGCTCTCGGGGAATATGTCATCCTAGCCCGGGCCCCTACAGCTAACAAACCCTCAACACTGCCCCCCGGCCCCAGTTGCGAGCGAGCATCTGATAGAGCACAATGGCCGACGTTTCTGCCGCAGATGCAGAGGGTGCGTTCTCCAGAGCAAGTCGACTGGCTTCCTTTGCTTGCGCTTCCTCCTGCGCCCGCAGAGCTTGAGGTTTAGGGTCTAGGAATTAGGGCTTTTGCTTCGGGCTTGTGATGTATAGCCTTTGAAGGTTGTGGTTTCGGATTTCAATAACCTTCGGTTCATTCATGGCTAGGGGCAGATAAAGTTTACCTTTGATGACAAAGAGTCTCGCGACTCCTTCAGTGTTGTTGGGTTCAGCGAGCTCGAATTGTCGTTTGCCAGAAGTACATTGGCCTCTGTTTTTAAAAAATCCAGCTTTAGGGTTTAGGGCATGGGGAACCCCAAACTCAGACCCAGACCCAACTGAAAGCCATCAAAAACTCCTGCACCCCAAACAAACAGTGAACAATATTGACCTGCGAAACCCAGCAAACTTAGCCCTAAACCCCGTGCCGTAAACCCAACCATCGAAGTCTAAATTATCTAAGCCCGCCGCTTGAAAACAAGTGCTGTGTAAGCAACGAACCTCTGCTACCACCCGAAGCCCCAATCTCTCTGAAAGATCTACAAAGCCCTGCGAAACCCTGTCAATTCCAATATCTTGCGCAGCTCATAAGTAGTCCCTGAGCCGTAGCCCTATCAATGCCACAAAAAAACCAAAGGGGCCATGGTGAAAACGAGAAGACAGCTGGACGCCTAAGCCTGGCAACTGCGAGCCCCAGTAGCCTTCGATGTCGAAGCCCTTACTTTAGGGTGCAGGCTTGTCGTTCGGGTGTAGGGGCAAGGGTTTAGGGTTTAGGGTTTAGGGGTTTAGGGGCTTAGGTTTCAGGTTCAGGTTACAGGGCTCAGAATTACAGGGGGTTTCGACTCACACACTCGCAACTGCAGGCATGGCAATAAGTGTCCGAGCTCGCTACTTGGACATGCTGAGCTTCTGTAGCAGAGAGCCATATAACACAGTCATAAGCATGAACGCCGACGTGCTAAGCAGGTTAGGAATAGAATGGACAACAAAGGTAGATAGAAATGCTCTCAATGCACTTGGCTCAGTAGTCCATACGGGTGGTTTAGGGCTTTTTGACGCTTACACTCGGACACGTCCAGGCAAGGTCTGTAGACGAAACTAGCGACACATCCAAAGGCCAGGAGTTCAAGTGCCTCCACATCCATGCTGTCAACGGAGATGCACCAAGTGAGCAACACTTAAATGGTTTCGGCGTTCACACCTAAGAACGTTCTATGAAGGACTCAAATTGCGGGTTAATGGTCGGCATATCGGGGTTGAGCGCGTGGTTCTTTTCTTCAATCATAACTACTGAATCGCTGCTGTGCAGTGAAACACCTCTGCAGGAATTCCATACGGCCAACATCGACAGGACAAGGCCCTGCAAAAGACAGCTCGAAACATGAACAGCGAGGTCTTATATCGTGGTGTACGAGTTTGGAGCAATGAGCCGACCTCGTCCTCAGCATCCACAGCCGGCATCAAGAGCTCGTCCAAGTAATCCTCCCATTATGCTTGGTACTTCGGGGTGCTTTGGGTGTGAACGGCCATACTGCCGCAGGGTGCAAGGTTCGATGGTACTACATAGATTGAAAGAACCGCGGCCGGTTGTCGGCGACCACAGTGTCCTTCAGTATAAACTCCTTGCATTGTGGCAGAATCTCGTGAAGGACAATCCCATGCCAAGAGGCATTTCGAATCATGACACCTAGAATGGGCTGGGCCTGAATCCAACTATTGTTCGGAGGGGTCTCCGCCATCAGCCTTTGCAAGAGACATGGCTTCCGCTAAATCAGTTGCATTCGTAATTGCTTGCAAAATCTTACTAGGGGATGAGGCACAGTGTGAGCTTGCTTTCAGATCCAACTAACTCCCACATACGCACCCCTCAAGAAGGGCTTCTCAAGATTTAGAGGTGTTGAACGCCCATTTCCTGGAGCGGTGGAGCCGCCCGAGATGGCAATTCGCCCGCATCGCCGTCCTCGAAAGCTTGAAGCACATCTGCCGACTAAGCTCTCAGCACGGGCACTTCTCCATACAACATGACACCATGATGTTTGCTCTTGTTCACCTTCAGAATACAACTTCCCCTGTCGGTTCAGCGCAGGCAAAACCTGCGAGCAGAACACAAAATAAACGCAAAGACATGCAAAGGCTCCCGGTTGCAACCAGGTCAGGCAAACTTTTGGTCGGGGCAAGGCCGGGAAGAAAGACCACCAGCGGCAGAACTTGCCATCGCGTCGTTTCTGCTGCTCCCTATGTACCCCAACTTCCAACCCTCGCTGCTGGCACGACAAAGCGCATGAGGAGCCGCTTGGCGCTGATGCAAGTCACAGGCTGCGGTTTTTGGCTCGCAGTCTTGACCACACATACCAGAAACGACCTACTTCCATTGCTTGGCTGTCGTGTTCTGGATTCGCATCGCGATGCCCGAGATCTGGTAACACCGCGTCGATTAGACCCCTGGAACCGGCGCCTCCACGGCCAGGGCACCATCTGCGAGGCAGAGGCGACCATGCAGACCACCCCACCTGCGAGGCAAAGGACCAAAGCAGGCTTCCGTCTTCCAGGTCATGCGGGCCGAGAGCTTGGATGCACAATGCAAACTTCGCGAGGCAGCAGGTCTTCTGCCGGCCGCCTCATAAAGCGACCACCTTTCACTGCACCGCCTGGAACAACTGCCTCGCGCAGCGCGCGTGCACATTCACGTGTGCATGTGGGGGGGGGGCGTAAACTTCGGGTCTTGTAAGAACAGCTCCCAGAAAGGAGGGGGAAGGCAATCAAGGTCGTCATCTTCACAAAGCAAAATGAAACAGCTGACATAGCAGCAACACAAGCTGGCGCAGCAGCATCAAGACAAATGACTGCGCAACCCTGCTAGCTACTAGGGCGCCGGATGCTGAAAGCTCCGGAGACCTGAAGCTCGCAGAGCCTGCCCTGATGGCCTCATAATCGCTGTCCTCACCCGGGTCCAGGCTGGGCAGCGTGTTCGTTTCCGGCCTCATCCAAGCAGAATCACGATGCAGCTGACCACTTGGATCTGCAAGGGCGCGAGATCCCTTCCACCGCCCACCGTAGCCGCAAGTAAAGCAGCGGCAGCGGCAATGATGAGCAACATCATCGCCAACAGTGACCTTCACCACCATCCTCTTAAACATCACATTCGACGTCTTCAGCAAATCTGAGGAGGAGTGCCGCAAGACAACAAACAAACACAACTAAACCAAGTGCAATCAGATCCAGAACAATCACGGCGTCGAGGAGCCAACCATCCGCAACCACCACCATACGCAACTAGCTGCAATGCCAACACGGCAAGCAAAGGCGGCAGCAACAAGAGCACCCATAGCAACAAAGGACACCAGCGCCCAAAAAGGACAAGCACAGCAAACGACACATGACACATGTCAAAAACACACTACAATCCACATTCCACCAAGCACGTAAATCAAACGAAGAACAGCAGCAATTCACGACCACGAGCATACTGTAGCAAGCACGACAGCCTTCAGTATTAGAACAAACTTTATTGCCTGCCACAGCCATTCATCTTCAACAACACTATCACTACCAGCAGTACCATGTTACGAGCAGCAGCAGTGTCAACACCAAGCTTTACTGTAAAGCCTGCCGAGGCCGCAACGGCTTGCAGGATTCGGAGTCCTTGGTCTCTCCCCCGCTGGCGCTGGCCGAAGACTCGTCATCAGAGTCCTGCCATGGCATATCTGATATCTTTTCACGTCAATACAGAATCCGTCAGAAGTTAGATTTGGAGAAGGAGCGGTATGTGTAGAGAACACGTGTTTATGTACGTACGCATGAATGTCAGTATATAGGTATGGACCAGAAGTGTGCTCTGGCGGTTGCTGGCCTGTGCGTGTTGCAAAAACCTAACATTTTCTCGACAGCCGGTGTCGCTGTCTTTCCATGTTACAAAGCAGAACAACGTCAAGGCCAAACTAGCTCGGCGATGTGTTTCTGTGCAGACTCTGCTATCAGAGGCCTAAAGCACAGGCCTAAACATAGTCGCTAAAGTCTGGGACCTCAGGGGGTTTCGATGAGGGTCAGGTAAGGGTTGACAAGGTAGCACTGTTACTCCAAAAAGCATGGAGGCAAACCCAATAACTAGGTAGCCGCAGACTTTAGACAGCTCCCGAATGTTGACAAGGCGAAAACGTTCGTTCGCAGTCGCGATCAAACATTTCGGACTTTTCTGCTAGACCCTACCGAGCCGGTTCTGCCTTCTCGTTGCCAGGGACATAGCCTTCTTCCCACCAGTAGCGGACACCTGGGGTCATGCAGCCCGGAGAACCCGTCTCGGGTTTGACACTCCTGGACTTCTACAGTAGTTTCTGAGCCTGGAGGAATACCGCGAACTCAAACTGAAAGCTCGACGGCCTTAAACCCCCAGAGTCTCCTTGACCCTTTTTTAACAGGAACTCTGAATATTGTTGCCCGCAATCCAGCAGCCAGGAACACATTATCCGGAAGTTCTATTTCATCGGCCAACGACAGCAACCGCCAGTGCGCGGCACCATGCCAGGGCACTGAAACCTAAACACTGCCACCATCTGCCCTAAATCATGGTTGCTGGTTTGCTTACAAGGCTCGCTTCTTGTTCTTCTCTTCCAGCCGAACTTGGCCCTCCTCGGCATCGACCTCGCCCCGCTCTTCATGAGGATGCTTTGCGGATTTGAGGCCCAGAGTAGGATTTAGGGTGTCGTCTATCCGAACCATTAGGACTGTTTCGCAGGCTGTCTGTCAAGACTGTCTGCGCTGTGTTTTCGGTGCTATAGTGCTCTTACCGCGGTTCTGGTTTACCTTCGTATGTATCAATGCTCTCTCTATGCTCCCGCATATGGCTGCTACGGGTGGTGGGTGGTGTTGAAGCTGCTGCTAACAGGGTACGTAAAGAAACGAAGTTACAATGTAGATGCGTAGCTACCTTTTGCAACACTTGGCGATCTGTTTCTCGGCACCATGGAATATTTTTGACGATGCATTCTAGTAACAGTATTGCTGATAGCTTCTGCTTGTCCGCACGTGCGATCTTGCAGGTGCAAGCACCTGCACCTGAATGCAGCATGCAAGTACGCATGCGGATGCGAAACACGTTTCATTTTTATTCGCGCATATGTGTCTGCATGTGGGTAGGTATGCGGGGTACATGCATTCATGCTTCCTCCAAATTCCGATAGGCTTCAGAGTAAATAGCATTCTTTAAAACATTAGGCCTGCGAAGCTGTCAGGGAGCCTTTGGCAGTCTTTGTCCCCTCCGGCCTGGTCGACGTTGTAGGCGATGTTGCTCTGTGGGATTTTTGCCATGGCTGCTTGCTGCTCTGAACTCCGAACTGCGGCTTCGGACATGAGGTTTGGGCGGAGGCTGTATAGATTAGAGTGGCTGATCCGCAGCTGTATGTCTCAAACCAGCCCGGTGCGACGACTTGAAATCCAAGACAGCCTCATAATTACAAAACACTGTGAAGGTGCCATGAGATGGGAGCCGAAAGTGGACCAAGCACTCCCATACGACAGAAGCAGCTAGTAAGACATTGCAAAGCAGCATCAAGCCCCGCAGCCCTGCAATGAGTAGACGTCCCACAAGCCCCAAGCTCAACCCTACACCCCCCCCCCCCCCCCCNNCCCCCCCCCCCCCCCCCCCCCTGTCGTCGGGATGGGAAAGGTGCCCTCGGATGCTGGAGGCCCGTACGCAACTGCATGGCAGTGTGCCACACGTCTCCGAGCGACGACAGGACTTTCCTAGCGACACCTATGTCGAAAGATGTTGTGGCAAGCCCTACTGACAAGCCCCAAGACAGCAACACCAACCGTAAAATGTAAACGAAGGCCGGCGTGACCTTGTCGTGTTTACAGCCTCCAATCGTGCTTCATCGCACACACTGCGTGCTGCGGGCGAGCCGTGTGCACAAGCCAAGCCCTGCACCCCAGATCTACAGCCATGCGCTCTAACAGGGAGCCTTCGATTTCGGCTTGTCTGCTGGTCTAAACTCAGGACCAGAAATCCGAAAGTGCAAAACTAAAGCTTTCGCCTCTGAGCTCTGATCTGACGGCGTGCGCCATGAGCAAATCTGAACACATACCCGCTCCAGCAAATGGTCGCAGCAGATGTTGCACGGCTTTTTGCATTCATCTGCTCTCGGTTCAGGATCCATAAAATGTACGATAGTCTAGGTTTAAAGTTTAAGCGTTGGCCTTCTGGACTCGGGTGACTCGGGTGAAGCGGTTTAGGAGCTTCTCCGGTTTAAACTCCTGTGCTCGGGGCCGTCCGTGATCACATGATCCTGGTATTGCTGCTATTGCTATCGCGGCTTTGTTCGATTGATGTAAACCGCCACAGCCGCTGAGAAAGATCACAGATGATGCGAAATCCTTCGAGACGTTCGTAAACCCTACCTATGACCTTCAAAACTCCAGGATAGGCTTTATGAGCTTCGAAACGAGGAACCCGAAGTCGACTACGCCCGAAACTCCAAAGCCTGAATCCACACTCCGGGCCTGGAGATCATGCTTGAAGAGGCCGGTGCCCGTTGGGATACCATGTCCTCACCACTTCCCGCTGCGTTGTACCGTTGTCATGGGCTTTATGGATTTTGGAGGCTTTCGGATCGAAGGTTTTTTAATCCGTCTGAAACCTGCAGTCCTAAGTCAGAAACTCCTATAGTCTTTAGAAGTCCATGTCCTGACCAGCACTTGCGGGGGCGTCTAGTCTATCTCAGCTTTGCAACATCCGCCGCTCCTGTTTGTGAGCTGGCAAGTCAAGGCTCCAAGCAAGATGCCTGTTCTCCAGCACGGGTGCTACATGCTGAGCGACGAAGGTAACAATAGAGTTTGGGGCTTATAGGGCTTAAGATGGTTTAAGCACAAGAACTAAGGGCTTACGGTTTAGATGGGGGGTTAGGGTTTAGAGAGAACAGATTCAAAACCTGGCTACAGAAGCCCGATACTCGAGAAGATTCGGATACTGCCCCAGCCAAGTTCCGTATGTCTCAGCATATGCCCGGCCCCCAAGCCTGTATCCCAAACCCTTAACTCTTGCACATAAGCTTTGAAGCAACCCTACTTGAGCTTTACACAACCTGCGGTATTCTGTCCAGTGCTTTTGGGCTTACTAAGAGCCTTGACTTGAACCTCAGGTACGAACAGACGCTGAAGGCTCTGTCCTCCCGGATGCTCAAACCACGTGGATGTGGAAGAATCGAACCTCGAGGTCTTTGAGTCAACAGCTTAGCGGTATGGATGGTGTTCCGGACTTAGTTTACATCCTGCGGCCGTTTTAAATTTGACACCAACGTCCCAGATCTGAGCAAAAACCGACCAAGTGACGAGCATGCCAAGAAAGGCAGTGTTCGAGAAAAAATCTCCAGACGACGTCTCAGCAAGAAGCAGGTCCAGAAATTCGAAGCCGCGACACTTCGACGGCAAAAGTTCTTGTTGAGTTAGCGCAGCAGGAGCTGACAATCCTTATTAACAACTCCAAGAAGGTCTCGCCGTTTTTTTGCCCACCGTTTTCGGGACCCTCAGCTTGTCCCAGATGCCCAGACCTTACAGCCTTGTACAGTGACACCCGTCTTATTTAAAACACCCTTCAACCCCTGAAAGCACAACTAATCCTGACTGCCAAAGTCTTGAAAGCCCATCAACAAGCCTAAACCCTTAAGTGCCAAACTCCGACACCCTAAGCCTAAGCACAACACAAACGCAAACCCATGCATACATAAGGTTAAACAACTCAGAAGGTAAGGCGGACAGACAGATACATAGTAGCTAGATAGGTAGAGAGGGGGCGCACGCACGCACGCGCACACACACACGACACCGAGCCGGGGCTCCGGACAAGGCGGCCAGCGCTTCGCTCCGGAGCTTCGGCACCAGGAGATCATTGGCGCCTTATAGGGGGGAGAGAGGATCTCAGGCGGCTGAGGGAGGTCTCGGGTTCGTGAGAGCAAAGGCTGACATGCCACAGCCAAGCACAACTCAGCTAAGC